TGTTTCTATGTTAAATTTCACCTCTCTCTTCCTTTTAATAAATTTAAAGAAGTTCTTGCTGTCCATCTTGATATTATTTACATGTTTACCCCCAAAGTTTTTCTTCTCCCTCTTTTTATTACTTTGTTGATAATCTTTCGTTGGTTTTTAAAGCTTTCACAATCCTCTGTCTTACCACTAATCTTTGCCCAATCATATCTTTTTTCTTTCAAGTTGATGCTTTCCTGGTTAACCGTGGTTGGATTATTCCCTTTCTAGCATCCTTGTTCCTCACTGGAATTTTTTTTTGAGTCATGAACCACTTTCTTAAATATCTCCCATTGTTCTCAACCACCCTTGCTGTTAAGTTCCTTTGCTAGTCCACTCCAGCTAGCTCTGTCTCATTCCTTTATAATTACCATTATCTAAGCTTAGCACAGTAGTTTCTGACCCAAACTGAATGCTAAATTGCACCATGTTAGTCACTGTTTCCTAAAGGATCATTTATTCTGACATAATTTATTAAACCTATCTCATTACACATCACCAAATCTAAAACAGCCTGATCCCTGTGCTAGGAAACTATCCTGAATACTATAGGTAGATTCAGCATGTCGATCGACATGGATTAACAAAAGAGCCAGCTGTGGCTCAGTACTAGAATTTTTGTTTCTGAATCAGGAAATGTTTGATTTAAATGCCAGAGAATTGAGTGTATATTCTGGGCTATTACTCAATCCAGTGCTGTATGGAGGGAGTTTTGGATGAGGCATTAAACAGAGACCTTGTCTGCCCCCAGGAGAACATATAAAGTAACATTGTTATCGTTCAAACAGCAGGGAATTCTCCGTTTTTTCCATTCCCAAAACTTGTTTCATAATCAAAATTACTAAAAACATAGATTAACCAGTAATTTAATTGTCCATTGTGGGGACTTGCTGCATCTAAATTGGCTGCTATTTTCTGACTGTACTTCATAATACTCTAGAGAATGAAAGGGACTCTGCAAGTAATAACTACTTACACGATGATTTAATTCATTCATTCTGATTCCATGTCAAAATGTAAAGAATGATCCTCAGTGCCATCTGTCCTATATAATGTAAATGTGATTTTTAAAATAATTTTGCACCTGTCTTATTGGGTAGGTGATAGCCTAGTGGTATTATCGCTAGACTATTAATCCAGAGACCCAGGCATTGTTCTGGGGACCTGGGTTCAAATCTCACTGGGGCACGTGGTAGATTTTGAATTCAATAATAATCTGGAGTCCAATGATGACCATGAAACCAATGCCAATTGTTAGGAAAAACCCATCTGGTTCACTAATGTCCTTTATGGAAGGAAATCTAAGTTTTCGAGAAGGAAATCTGCCATCCTTACCTGGTCTGGCCTACATGTGACTCCAGACCCACAGCACAGTAGTTGACTCTTAACTGCCCTCTGGGCAATTAGGAATGGGCAATAAATGCTGGTCCAGCCAGCGACACCCACATCCCATGAATGAATAAAAAAATTACTCTTGTATCATGCACAAAAAAGTGTCAGAGTTGATGGGACAAATCAGAAAACACAAGAATTACAGCGTCAAGGAACACAGTTCATTTTGTTAGAATCTGCTTAACAGCAGATTACAGAGAAATCAACAACATTTTATCAATTCTAATATTAGAGCTATCTTAGTACAAAGAGATATTGTACTCTAGACAAACTGTCAGTTTTTATGTGCTTAGTGGTTCTGAATGACTTTCTGTGAGAGCGACAACTGTGTGTTTCTGTCTCCCACACAAGTTATTTTTGCAAATTCATCCGTTTGGAAAAAAGTAAGAAAATACTGAGTTCTATTGAATGTTTTCTTTTCGCAATGCTCTAATTTCAATTCCTGGTATTATACAGACACACACCGACATTTACATAGTATTTAAGTGAAATAAATTGGAGCTGTAACCAATGATGTATGAATATCTGAATAGGAACTGCCTATTTTAAGTTCTTATACAGTACTTTTGAAACAAATGTTCAGGCAGAAGTCCCCAGAATTTTACAGTATCAGAATTATGGCAACTTTGACACATTTTAACATTGGCCTCAGAGAATATGAAAACAGTACTAGTTCATTTTAATTCTCTAGATCATTTAACCCAGAGAAAGGAATCATCCTGATGTCACACCATTGAATACTTGGACACTGAAATGAAAATAAAAATCATTATAAAAGTTAATGGGGTCGTGCAGTGACAGGAACATAAGGATACATAAATAAAAAGGGATAAGTACATTCTATAGCTATGGTTCACCTGACCTAACTGTTCTCACACTATACCTGTCCTTATCTTGACCAAATGGTTCATGTTTCACTTTAGATGAAATGTGAAGAAGTCTTGGATTTCTTCATCCTCAAGACTGAGTCCACCTTTGCAACTTTCTCTTGCTTCTTGCCCTTCTACCATGCCAACTTTATCCCATCCATCTCCTTCAAGTCGCAGTCCAAATCCAACCTCTCCTAAGGTCATTAATTGAATATGTTGTTGGTTCCCAGATTTATGGTAATTCCTCACAGTATTCTCTTTGAAATCCTATCTAAACTTCCAACCTCCTCAACACAGTCAGTAAAGTAACAAGTGGGCTTTCTCAAGATTGTGATGTCTCTCACTTTTATGCTGTCTCCACTTGATCGTTCTTCCTCTCCATTATGCAGCTTCGTCCAACTGTTCTTGCACAGTTCTATTCCTTTCTAATCAAATGCTGTACATTTCCAGTAATGGCTTTTCTTTCCTCTCACCATTACCTCAGTCATTTTCATCTCGAATAAAGCATTAAGTTTTGGGCACTGAACATCAGGGGAAAAAAATCAGCCTTTGAGGTGGTACAACAGATTCACTTGAATAAATCATGAATGCCTCCAGATCAAGTAGGGAAGTCTGAAACCATTGCTTTTGAGCTCCATCACAAACTCACTCCCCGCAGCCACAGTCTAGACATCCTGTTTGATTCCAATTAAGGTTTAAGCCTCACATTCTGTCACCAAGAATGTTTATCTCCATCTTTGCAACATTACCAATTGTTCAACTTGGGATCAGCCCACTGAACTGGCAAGAAATAGATCAGAGCCAGCAGATCATATAGATGGAATGACAGATGGATAGTTGGGGATTGATACATTGGGTGGTTTGTGGGAAGATCATGGCAAATATAATGAACAGTATATTGTGGAGGTCAGGTAAATGCGTTTGATAAATGGTTTCAGTAACTTGGAAGGCTTTTATGGCGCAGTGACTGTGTCCCTACCTCTGCACAGAAGGCCTGAGTTCAAGTGCCACCTTCAGACTTGTGTCATGATGTGTCTAAACAGGTTGATTAGAATACCCTAGAAACTATCTTGAAAATTTAAATCTGTATATTATGTTTCGAGTCTTACAAAAATGAGTAATTTTGTGATCAGTAAACTTAATCTAAATGACCCGGAAAATTATTTCTTTTCTGTTCTTTTCAACTTCACACTGTAGGTCTTGGATCTCTAATTAGGCCTTTCCATTTTTCATGACTCTGTCAGAAAATTGAGTCAGATTCTTTCTAAGTGTAAGTCTATTCAAAATCAACTGGTTGTAAATTTTCTTCTCAATTTTATGCTGGTACTTTATTCAGGGTATCCATATATTTCTATGAGAACATTTACTACTGAGTTCTGCTCTTTAAGATGAGGATTTATTTCCCTAGACAACATGAGTGCATTAAATCAAGTACTGTGTGGCATTACTGTTCAAGCTTAAATGTGACAGGATGCAGCACTGCTAAGAGGGAAGCTGAGTAACCAAAACCTGCTCAAGTGACTCTCTTTTTATTGTACTTAACGATTGTAAAGAGCAGGAAGCACTATACACAGTTAAATTCTTCAGTTTGCTTGAGGTTAAGTTTATGTGGCATTTCAACTTTATGATATAATCACTGCAGAGCAGTGTGAGGGAAAGCGAGTCCTGGAGCAGCACAACTTACCTTGGTGCAGCTAATTCCGGTGTGGAGCGGGACAGTTGTTGGACTGGGGCCTGGCTCAGTCAGACCACGTGCTGCTATTTAAAATTTTTTACTGGACTGTCATGTCAGTCCTTCAACTATGTTATACCTATCTTATTTCTAACTTTTTTTTAGACACTATAAATAATGCTAATACTTTTCCTTTTATTCCTCTTTGATTCCAATGATACTATTAAAGGCAGCAATTGTAAAACGTTTTCACTGTACTCCTGTAGATCAGTACTGGAGTACACGTAACAATAAAGGATATTCTGTTTCTGATTCTGAATCATTTGGTTTACACTACAAAGTTGTTGTTACGAGTATGGACATCAATTACAATTGAGCAATTAAAAGTTTCACATCAACTTCCCCATGTCTTGTAAAGTCATTCACTCAGGCCTACTGGGAAGGTGTAGAGAGAGATGAGAAGAAAGCAGGAGAAACAATTGCACAAAATCTGGGAATATGGATAGGTCAAGGGGAATAATTGGTCAGACTTACAATTTGCATAAATTGACATAACCATATTTGATATAGAGTGTGTGCACACTCGTGCCAGGGGTGAGAGAAGGAGATTGAGTTACAGATCCTTTTGTAGCTGCTGCCCTACTTCCCCTTCATCTGGGAAGACTGGCAATGTCTGTGCTATAGATTTTATTATGACTATCGTGGCAAGCAGCAAAATGGTACTCAAGGAATCAGTGCAGGAAAAGGCCATTCAATCCCTCAAACCAGCTTCACCATCTTGATCATGGTTGGTCATCTACTTCAATGCCATATTCCCTTTCTACCCTCATATTGCTTGATTTTCATAGATCCTTGAGAGAGTCAGCCAATCTCTGCAGTTTTCATTTTAACCGCTGGATACCTGTCCAGTAAACAAAGGTGAATTCATCCTTCTAGTACCTATTAATCAGCACTTTTGAATTAATACCCCTTTTGGGATTCAGATTAACAATGAAAAAAACTGCAAGTTTACACAAATGGTCCAAATCTGCTCCCAAATATTATTTCTTTTGCCTTAATTTTATTTCCATTTTAATGAAAGCTTTAAGATTCTCATCATCAACATATTTATCAATATCCTCGAGAGCTTTTTGATCTCCGTTCTGGTAGTACTGTGTCATTTCCTCTGCGTACGAAATCCATACACAGTTATGGCATCCTTTCATACAGCACCAGGTAGGGGGGATTGGTGGAAAGTTGTCACTTTCCTGACTGCAACCATCATCCTTATTACTTTGTTCTTTATTTTGAAGATGAAGTTGGTTGTTTTCTGTGTTCTCTTTGCAGTTCAGGTTCCTGGAGAGCGCAAAAAACCTTTTGTACAAGGTAATAGTCTGGTTATAGTATAATATCTGCAAAACCCTGAACAGTCCAGGCAAATGCGATGAAAGAGGAAAGCCTGATGTCCATATAAATCCATTGGAAGAGAATTGTGATAGTCCAGGAGCTCCCTGAAGATTAAAATGAAGAAAGCTTATTTCTTTTACCAACGCCTATAATAACTCAATCATAAAATGATAGGGAATGGAAATGTCAGGATGTGAACAAAAATACTTTGCCAAATAAGTACAAAAAGTTTCCGTCCCAAAATGCATTGTGGCTAAACTATCCATGCTAGGACAAAGCCAATTGCAACCCTAAATCCTGCAGATCAGCTTGCCTCCAATCCCTAGTGTTGACAGGCCTCAAACAGAAGATAATAGTATCCCTACGGATGGTCACAGTGCTCCTAGGCTAAGAGGAACTGAAACAAATATTATTCAGGGTTCCTGTTCCTGATCACCATCTACAATGCCCTGTTAGAAAGCATGGGAATGAGTTTGGTTGAGGAGAGAATCAGACTGGGCTATGTTATCTTACCAGTCCAGAAACCAGATGACAGTGTCTGTGCTTGAATGTTTTATTTCAGTCCAGTATTAGAAGCTGCCAATTAAGGTTCTGGGGTTTGGGAGAAGGCCGATTTTAATAAGACAAAACAGGATCTGGCCAAAGTGGACTGGGTGCATACACTTGCAGGAAAATCCACATCAGAGCTGGGTACACTCAAAAGGGGAATAGTGGAAGTGCAGGGACAAGATGTTCCCACAAAGGTGAAAGACAAGACCAACAAGTGTAGAGTATCCTGGACATCAGGGAATGTACAGGATTGGATAAGTGAAAAAAATGGAAGCTTATGATAGATACCAAAGGCTCAAAACAGCAGATGCCCTAGAGGACTATTGAGTATAGTGCAAGGGTTAGCTTAAAACAGAAAGTAGGAGAGCAAAGTGGGGGCATGTAAAAACACTGGTGTGTAACATTCAGGAAAATTCAAAGGCATGGTGACTCAGTGGTTAGCATTGTTGACTCACACTGCCAAGGACTCAGGTTCAATTCTAGCCTCAGGTGACTGTGTGGAGTTTGCACTTTCTTCCCGTGTCTGCGTGGGTTTCCTCCCACAGTCCAAAGATGTGCAGGTTAGGTGGATTGGCCATGCTAAATTGCCTGTAGTGACCAGGGATGTGCAGGCTAGATGGATTAGCCATGGAAAATGTGAGGTTACAGGGATGGTTGGAGGGCTAGATCTGTGTGGGATGCTCTTTGGAGAGTCGGTGTGGACTTGATGGGCTGAATGGCCTCTTTCTGCACTGTAGGGATTCTATGATTCATTTTATAAATCCGTTGAGTGAAAGAGTAGGGCCTATTAGGGACCAAAGTGGCAATATTTATGTGGAGCCAGAAGTTTTTAAATTTGTACTTTGCATCAGTATTCATATAAGAAGCACAATGTAAGTCTAGAAATCAGGGAAGGGATTGTGATATACTTGAACAAATTAGCATTGAAAGGGAGGAGTTACTAGCGATTTTAGCAAGTTTGAAATAAATCTCCAAGCCCAGATGAGACGAGGCCAAGAATGCAGTGGGAGGCCAGGGAGGAAATTGTGGGAGCTCTGACATTAATTTTCAAATCCTGTCTGGCCCCAGGAGGGGAGCCAGAGGACGGGAGGACTATTATTCAATAAGGGAGGTAGGGATAAACCCTTTCCTGGATTGCCACCTTGCTGCGGTGGAGATGTTTAAATGGTTCATTGATCTCAAGAGTGATATCGTCTGGAATTCTCAACTGTTGGCAGAGCTGCCCATGATGGTCAGTTAAGAGAGGAGGAATCAGACCAAACACAATCCAGAACAATTCTTCAATGGACATGCAGGCGGAAAGTATTAGTGTGATTGAGAATCTCCATACTGCTGCAGTCTTCAGTCTTCGAGGTTTGCTTGCCACTGGAATTGGATCTACCTTCTGTCAAGGACTGTGAGTCTGCTGATGTGCAACATCGTTCCCACATTAAAAGATGTCTTGCACAAGATGTGACGAATTGAAGAATGGAAAAGCCAAAGAGTAGACAGGATTCCAGCAGAGATTTTCAAACTTGGAGGAGCAGAGCTTACCTGTCATCTCCATCAACAGTTCCTGAAAATCTGGGACAAAGAAGAAATCTCACGGATGATGTCATCGTGAGCATCTTCAAAAAAAAAAGAGACAATGTGCACTGTGGGAACTACTGAAGAATCTCCTTATTCTCCATCGCTGGGAAGATTGTTGCCTGAATCCTTGCCAGGTGCCTTTTCCAGTCTCTGAGGAAATCCTTCCTGAAAGCCAGTGTGGCTTCCAACCAAACCAAGGAACATGATTTTCACTGCTTGTCAACTCCAAGAGAAATGCCAGGAATAGCATCAACCACTCTACATGGCCTTTATTGACATGACCAAGGCTTTTCACTCAGTCAGTCAGGAAATTCTATGCAAGACTCTGTCAAAGGCAGATTATCCAGTGAAATTCATCAACGTCCTCCATTTCCTACACAACAAGATGTCAACGATGGTCCTCACTGATGATAATATGAAAGAATACTCTGAAGTCAACACAGGGATCAAGCGGGGATATATCATCACTCCACCCTTTTCTATACCTTCATCGGCACCATTCTTCATCTTGTCAAGAACAAGCTTCCCAGTGGTGTGGATATTGTCTACAGAATGGGTGGAAGACCTTTCAACCTCAAACATTTGAAATGCAAGAAGAAAACAACATTGACCTCACTTGTGGAACTTCTGCATGCAGATGACAATGTCATGTCTGCTCTCTCAGAAGAGAATCTCCAAGCCTCACTTCGAGATGGTAAGATCTGCCGATGCTGGAGTCAGAGATAACACAGTGTGGAGCTGGAGGAACACAGCAGGCCAGGCAGCATCAGAGGAGCAGGAAAGCTGACGTTTCAGGTCGGGACCCTTCTATAGAAAATGCTTGGCACCAGGCACATTGTGGGGGAAGTCCTGGGTAGGGTTGAGGACTTGGGGGTGGAAGAGGTCTGCGTTTTGTGGCAGGTACCAGTAAATTTGACGTACTTACAGTTTTTAATGTCTAATAGGGTTGAGTAAAATTGTAGGTTGGGGTTGTGGATCTTGTCAAGAATAAAAAACAGAAGAGGTCCTTTGCAGGTCTAGGACAAGAGGCTGTGAGCTGGGGTAGGCTTGATTGAAGGGCCAGAAAATACCGGCGCATTGCTGAGAGCGTGTGCTTGAGGAGTCGCAGAGAAAAACGTTTTTGGAGGATGTGAATGTTCTGTATGTAGCAGTCGTCACGGTTGGGGCCAAGTTGGGAAGGCCTGAATGTAGACTGGAGTCCATTGGGATAATCCAGTGCCTTTCTCGGTACCTGCCTACGGAAATGTAGCTGTAGTACCTGGTTTGCTTCAGTATGTGGTGGAGCAGTTTCAGGGCCGAAGAGATTACCAGAGGGTTGCAGTAGGAGAGATATCCATTGAGGTCTTTCCGGAGGAAGGAGGATCACTTCTTCAAGGTAGACATCCCTAAAAGAGGCTTCGCAGTGGAGTTATAATTCACTCAGAAATAGTAAGAACTGCCGATTGCTGGAGCCAGAGATAACACAGTGTGGAGCTGGAGGAACACAGCAGACCACGCAGCATCAGAGGAGCAGGAAAGCTGATGTTTCAGGTCAGGACACTTCTTCAGAAGTAGTGGTCAACTCCTACATTAAGATCAACAGAGAAATTCTGCCGAATGTGAACATTTCCCTTACATGGGAAGCTACTTCTCATCGAAAGATGACATCGATGCGGAAATTCAACTTCTCATTCAATCTGTAAGCACTGCCTTTGGACAGCTAAGCGTTAAGAGTCTTCGACCATGACATCTGTGCTAATACCAAGATCTTTGTGTATAAGGCAGTTATACACTCCTGTGTGGCTTCAAAGCTAGGACTATGTACGGATGCCACCTCAAAAAGTGCTGTCATTGTTGTTTTAAATGGATTCTCCTCATCAGCTGTGAGGACAGGTTTACTAACATCAGCTTCCTTAAAGCAGTCAATAACACCAGTATTGAAGCCATGATCATCCAAAACCAAATCCATTGGGCTGGTTATGTTCTTAGAATGCCTGGTTTCTGACAACCAAAACGAATCTTCTTCGCTGAGCTGAAGGCAGGCACTCGAACGAAAGGGGGACAAAGACTCCCTGAAGGCTTCCCTCAAGAAATGCAACACAGATATCAACGCATGGAAGACCCTCGTTCAAAAGAAGCTGATTTGAAGGAAATTCCTGTATGAAGAGACATAAATCTTTGAGAACACCCGTCAGCAAGAGGAAGTATGGAAAAGGAACTGAAGAAAGAAGTCCACAGAACCGATGACACGAAATTTCCCAGGTGGACAATCATACTTGATAGCAAGTGACTGCCAATGATGACAAGGGATAAACCTGCACACTACAGCCCATGGAGTCGAACATCCGTGGTAGGGAAACTATTGGAAAAATTCTGAGGGACAAAATCAATCCCTGCTTGGAGAGAAAAAGGATCGTTCAGGAATAGTCAGCATGTCTTTGTAAAGGGCAAGATCACGTCTAACAAATTGAATTGAATTTTGACAGAAGGTGACTAGGTGTGTAGATGAGGGTAGGATGTCGTCTACATGAACTTCAGTAAGGCTTTTGAAAATGTCTCACATGGCAGACTGTTAAACAGCTAGGAGCCCATGGGATCTACAGCATTTTACCAAATTGGATCCAAAACTCACTTCGTGGGAGGACATAGAGGGTGGTGGTCAAAGGATGTTTTTCTTACTGGAGACGTGTGGTGTAACAAAGGGTTCCTGGGTCCCTCGCCGTTTGTTGTGCACATTAATGATCTAGATAACAATGTAGGAGGTATAACCAGTAAGTTGGCAGATGACAGGAAAATCAGTGCTGTGGTAAATAGTGAGGAGGAAAGCCTTAATTTCAGGGTGATATAGATGGTCTGGTTATTAACTGTGGCAAATGGAATTTAATCCAGAAAAGTATGAGATGATGCATTTTGGGAGGACTAACAGAATTAGAAAGTAGAACGTTAGGAAGTACAGAGGTTGACAGGGACCTTGGTGTGCATGTCCATGGATCTTTGTTGGCAGCAGAACAGGTAGATAAAGTGGTTAAGACGACATTGGGATACGTCTTTATTAGTGAAGGCACAGATTAGAAGAGCAAGGAGGTTATGGTGGAGCTGTATACAATGTTAGTTATAGCACAGTTACAGTACTGTGTGCAATTCCATTTACCTCACTGTAGGAAGGATGCTGTTGCACTAGTCACAGTGTTGCTGCAGTGATTCTGCTATAGAGACACTACATAGCTGGGGTTGTTTTCCTTTGAGCAGAGAAGGCGGATGGGATCTGACTGAGCTGTACAAAATTGTGAAGGAAACTTCTCCCCTTAGTGGAAGGGTCAACAACCAGTGGTTACAGTTTTAACGTAAGGAGCAAGAGGGTTAGAGGGGATTTGAGGAAAACATTTTTGACTCGATTGTGGTCATTTGGAACTCACTGCCTAATGGTGGTAGTGGCGGGAACCCTCAAGTCATTAAGAACTATTTAGATGAGCACTGGCAACACCATAATATACAAAACTATGGGCCAAGTGCAGGAAAATGGAAGGAGAATGTGACCAGCACAGACATGATGGGCCAAAGTGTTTCTTTCTGTGCTAATAAAAACTCTCTGATCTATCTGCATGCCTCTGTGTTTAAGAATTGTCAAATGTCATCTTGAGGCCTTTGCACGAAGCTGTGTCAGTTGTCTGTCTGATCAACCAGCAGTGTTCAAGTCAAGGTGGACTATTTTACAGCGTGTCCTATCTTTCAATGCCTCCTCATCTTTTTGCCCTGCAGATAGCTCCATCAAACTTCCACTGGGAAAAGATTATGAACTAAATTACTATTGCTTTGGATTCAAATAGGAAATTGGTTAAATCAAAAATTAAACCACATCATTTCAGAGGATTTTTTTTGACCCAGATCCCTTTCTATTGTTAAGAATAATTAGTTAAAGTGATTATGGGGAGGTGATGATGTTGTAACATAGCAGTTCTCAGGGTGCGAATGGAGTCTATACACAAGGCGATTTGTGCACAAGTCAGAACAATGTAGGATAATGCAAAGCAGCTGTTATTTTGTACAGGAAATGTTCATATGTTGTGTCTTTTAAATTACACCGCTTTATGGGATCATGTTCATAAGAAGGAGTATTCGTAAACCGGGGACCTCCTGTATTTCCACTGGACTAGTATTCCAGAGACTCAGAGGGTTCAAATTCCATAATTTAAAGTTTGAATTTGAAATACATATCTGGAATTAAAAGTCTAATGATGACCATTGTCATAAAAACTCATCTGGTTCATTAATGTCCTTTAGGGGAGGAAATCTGCCATCCCTACCAGGTCTGGCCTACATGTGACTCTAGTGCAACAATGTGGTTGCATTTTAGCTGCCTGCTGAACTACCCAATCACCCCATGAAGATACATCAAACCACAGAGCACCAAGAAAAGAAATGAAGCCAGACGGATACCTTGCACCACTTCAGCACTGGAAATAACAATAAAACAGCCCTGTCAACTCTGCAAAGTTCTCCTTACTAACATCTAGGAGAAAGAGCCAAAATTGAGAAGGCTGTCTCACGGACTAGTCATATCCATGTAATTGTACTCACACACTATGTCTCAAACAACACTTCATTATCCCGGGGTATGTCCTGACCCACCTCCAAGACAATTCCAACAGTGATGACAGCACAGGGTTCTACAGTTCAGAGAGTTACCCGGAGAGTCCACAACATCAACTCTGGACCCCATGTCATTTCATGGCCAGGTCAAATGGGGAGGCGATGGCCTAGTGGTATTATCGCTGGACTGTTAATCCAGAGACCCAGATAATGTTCTGGGGACGTGGGTTCGAATCCCACCATAGCAGATGGTGGAATTTTGAATTCAATAAATAGCTGGAATTAAGAGTCTAATGATGATCATGAATCCATTGTTGATTGTTAGGAGAAAAACGCATCTGGTTCACTAATGCCCTTTAGGGAAGGAAACTGCCATCCTTACCTGATCTGGCCTACATGTGACTCCAGACCCACAGCAATGTGGTAGACTCTTAACTGCCCTCTGCACATTTAGGGATGGGCAATAAATGCTGCATAGCCAGCGACGCCCGCATCCCGTGAATGAATAAAGAAAAAAAAAATAGGCAAGAAAACATAGGTTTATGGTGAAGAAACCAACAAGAGAGAAAAAAGACATACTTGACCTCACCCTCGCCAATCCACCTGGCATTTGACAGTATTGAAAGGAGTGAACACTGCAGTCATTGTGGAGAAGTCCTGTTTTCACATTGAGGATGCCCTCAATTGTATTGTCACTACCACCAAGCTGAGTGGGATAGTTTTAAACAGACCTGTCAAGTGTATTCATGATGCATGGGAGGTCATCAATAGCCGCAGAATTGAATTCCAACAGAATCTGCAACCACTGGCTTGGCATATTCTCATTCAACCATTACCATCAAGTCATGACAAAGCAGCCTTCTTGATTGGCACTCCACGCATAACATATATGTCCTTCACCACCAATGCTCAGTAGCAGCAACGTATGCCATTTACAATATGCACTGCAGAAATTTTACAAAACTCCTTAGACAATACCTTCCAAAACCACATCGCTACCACCTATGAGGATTAAGGAGAGCAGATGCATGAAATTCCAGCAATGGGAAGTTCCCCTCCAAGTCACACACCATCCAGACTCGGAACTATAATCATTGAACCTTTAGTGTTGCTGGGGCAAAATTCTGAAACTTCTACCCTAACAGCATTCTGAATCAACCTTCATCAAATGGACTGCAGCAGTTCAAGAAAGCAGCTCACCACCACTTTCTTGAAGGCATTTAAGAATAGGCAAGCAATGTTGGCCTAATCAGTAAAACTCACACCCATGAATAAATTTAAAACAAAAGCTTGACTGTGTCTCTCAATTACCCGGCTATATTGCTAGCATCAAGTCATGAGAACCAGAAAGTCCCAGTTTGAACAGATTATTTTAGTAACTGCAGACTAGAGGTTGGGGGAGGTGAAGGTCAAGACAGTTAGGGATCCCAATTAGTATTGGATGAGGATAGTAGAGTAGTTGTTACACTTCACACGATCAATAGCATCGATTACAAAGGGGCATCTGACACCTGTAGAACCACAGTGCAGATTAAAAAAAGGTGAGAATTTGTCAAAGGAAAGATACTTAATGATCTTTTACAAGATTGTAAAAAATTAATCCTGTTGAATGACCAACATAGTGCCTGGCAACACAAGATATGAAACAGGATGCAGCACTATGCAATAACCTTCACAGCTGAGTGATATGGTGAGCATAGGATTGTTACTTTTCATTTACATTGGCTTGGATAAACAATACTATCAGGAAACAAGAGTCAGCTCCTTTCCAATCTATTTATTGGTCACCCTAAATGTTTATCAGCTTTTAAATTCTATTATGAAACATCAATCTTTTAAATAAAAATGATGGAAGCCAAATTAAACTCATTTTTTGCACACATTTTTTAAACTGGGTGAATAGATGATCTTCGAGCCCACCTCACAATTCAATGAGTCAGCATAACAATGTGCACTTGTAAGGTGCCTAGACAAACATATATTGATCCTGAGTCAAAGGAAGAGCTTTGGGGATGGGTGACAAAAGCCTTGGTCAAATAAGCAGGTCAGCCTTAAGGAATAAAAAAAAGTGCAAAGTTTAAGAGAATTCTGAAATTAGCATACATACAGCTCAAGGCAAGGTCATCATCATCGGGGAATGACAGTGAGATTCTAAAGAGGAACACAGAGTTCTTGGTGAGCTTAGGAATTTAGAGATAAAGACAGGGATGAGGCCATGGAAGGATCTGAACACAAGAGAAAAAAAATGTTAAAATCCAAGGCTTGATGGACCAGGAATCAATGCAGATGAGAGCACACAGGAGTGAGCAGGACATATACAAGTAACAACATGAACAATTCCCTCTTACGTAGCACCTTCAAAGTGGTCTGAAGTCTCAAGGTGTTTCGGAGGAGCATTCTCAAATAAAATGTGATTCTGAGTCATATAAAATGATTAGCATGTTTACAGTATAGAAGAAGGTGATTCACTTATTTGTGTCAGTACTATGTGTGATGATGTTGTCACTTTAAAAAAATTATTTTGTCCTGGGTTTTCTTGAGGAGAGGTTGTAAAGGCTATGGTAAATAAGTGGCTACTGGAGATGGATCAAGTCAATAACTTAGAAGATCTTTAGGTTCTTCTTTTAAAAAGTTGTAACAATGGAAGGGGAGTGGCCAGTTCTCACAGATCAGGTTTTCTAGTTTTTTCAGTTGTAGCAGTCGGAAGCTGTTTGGGACCCAGAAGAGTTGGAGCTTCAATAAATGATTCCTACCTTCTACTTTCTCTGAAATCTCTCTTAATGTTGTTTCCTCCTGAATTGAAGAACTGCATGTAAGAATCTGTGTCTGAATTTATCTTTTGGCTAAGGGGTGTGTTTATGGGATGTTATTATATTGGAACGTTAATTAGTAATAGGTATTGTATCTATTATTCGGTTGTTAGTCTAAATTCCTCTTTCTTTTGTTTGTATTTGAACTATAGTGTTTAAATAGGGTTTTGTTTAACATTGAATAGTTTGACCAGTCGCATCACATCTGGAACACACACTTCACATCTACCTTTTAAAATAATAAGTAGTTCGGGTCTAGGCTACCTTCTTAAAATATTTTGAGAGGGTCTTGTCTGGTCCATAACATGGGTTTCTGCAAGAGAAATTCATCATGCCCACTGCTCTGCCTTTTCCCTATAACACTACAGTGAAGAAGTGCAAACATCACTAGACTAGTAATCCAGAGGACCAGGCTATTTCCTCAGGGACAGAGGTCAAATTCCAAAATTTGAATTCAATTAATATATTTGGAATATACAGCTCATATCAGTAATGGTGACCATGACATGTATCGTCTGGTTGACTAACATCCCTGTAGGCAATCTGCCAAACTTATTCAGGCCCGAGATTCCAAACCCACAATAGTGGGTTGATATTTAACTGCCCTCAGACCTAGCAAACCACTCTGGTGAAAGGCATGTAGGGCAGCTTAAAGCACCCATACCCCTTCTAAATATTAAGACCATGAGATATAGAAGCAGAATAAGGCCATTCAGCCCATCAAGTCTGCCCTGCCACTTGATCATGGCTGATATCTTTCTAAACTCCATTCTCCTGTCTTCTCCCTGTAACCTTGATCCCCTCACCAATCAAGAACCTGTCTATCTCTGTCTTAAATATACTCAATGACTTGGGCTCCACAGACCTCTGTGGCAATGAGTTCCACAGATTAACCACCCTCTTGCTGAAGAAATACCTGCACATCTCAGCTCTAAAGGGTCGTCCCTTCACTCTGAGGCTGTGCCTCGGGTCATAGTCTCTCCTACTAGTGGAAACATCTTGTTCATGTCAAATCTATCAAGGCCTATCAATACATTGTAAGTTTCAATTAGATAACACCCCTCATCCTTCTAAACTCCACTGCATACAGACCCAGAGTCCTCAACTACTC